TATAATATTATTGAAATCATTTACTCTAGTCCCAAATAATCTTGTCTTACAGCTGAAAAAATAACATAAAATCCTCCACCTCTAATATACATACTCAATTCATTTTTCGAGCGGCGCGGCCCCAGATCGCAATGCTCTTTCTTTTTTTTCCAACTTTCGCGCAACTTTGCGGCCTGTCGCCCCTAAAGTATGCGGAAGGCGGGCCGCGGGATCGCGGTCGCGCGTTCGCAATTAACATTTCCCCCACTGCCCCGCTCAAAGCCGCAGCACCCTTTCGTTCCCGAAACCTGCTCTGCGATTTTTATGCCCTAGCACGCCTCTGCTTCCTCCCCCGGTCCTCCCGTGAAGCCTCCAAGCCCCCCGACACTCCTCACACCGCTCCTACCGTGAAGCCTCTCGCCGCTCCTCCCCACGCTCCTCCCCCTGCAACGCCTCTGCTCCTCTTCAACTATCGTGTGGACTCCTGATCGGTATTTCCCCCCTAATTTTTTCTGCATAATTTGCTGTTGTACTTCTTCGTTTCCCAAACACTCCTTAATTGTTGGAGTTTTTTGTGCATTATCATTTTCCTGTTTAACTAATGGTTCATGTGAGAAGGTCTATTTGGGAGCAGAGAAGGGCTGGTGAGTGCTCTTGGTTCTTGACATCATAAAAAACGAATTGCTGATAAAAATAAGCTTTCTCAACAAATAAAAATGAAGAAAGAAAAATAAATAAAAGAGCTACCTGATAAAAAAAAAACAGTCGATGCAATAAATGAACAAATTGATTAACCGAGAAAAAGTTATTGTATAATGGGATTTAGGTAAAATATTAAAGTTTATTACATAACAATAATTAATTAATTACCTAACAATTACATTTGTTACATGTTTATTTTGCTTATGGAGTTTTAAAAATGTCACTCTTACAATCTTCTTTTAAACAATTTTATCAAACAAGGACAGAATGATAATTTTTTAGAAAACAGCTGTTCTGCAGTTGTTTTCACGCAGTTGCACCAAACAGACAGTTAGCTTCCCCGCAGCAGTTTCCTGGGGCAGCACAGCTGCAGCTGCGCCAAACAGAGCCTTAGTTTGAAAAGTGTTTTGTGATTGTTGGCGCTGATGCGAAGTAAAAGCTTAAGAAAATATGTTTTTTTTTTTGTTTTTTTTTCATTTAATGAGTTACTATTTTTTATTTGGGAAATTTACATGCATACCATACAATACTTATGCATTTACATATCTGATACCCAAAGATTGATATTTACACACACAACATTTTACTGTCATAAATTTATGCATGAAAGTATATTTAACTGTTAAAAAGAATGGTGATATTTTTCGATATGGTGTTCAAGATTTGAGTGGTATCAATGTAAATATGAATGTTTTGGTGATAAATATGTAAATACTATGAGAATTGTGTTATGTATGTAAATGCACCTAGGGCTGTCAAAACGGCCTTAGCTGAGAAGCTGCAGCTGCGCCAAACAGAACCTTAATCTTTTTCATCAACAGTGTTACTCATTTTCCAATGCATGCTTTTAAAAAACTATTTTTTTTTTCTTCACTATTAGTTCTACTGAAAAAATATGTAAGATTAAAAAATGTTTTGTTGCACACAAAGACCGATGGAGTTGCCCTTCTCAACTCCACTGCATGGTTTGAAAAAAACACTAGCATTAACTCTATAAATATGGTTTCTCTGGGACAATTTGCCAAGAAGTTCACCAATTATTTTGAAACCATCAGCCATAAGAGAATTATATTTATGAAAATCTTCTATATGTTTTTGCAATGGTTGTTGTGTGTGTCATACCTCCTCTATAAGTATGGAACCCAAACCTCACAATAGCAAATTGGTTCATGGCAAAACTAAATTGCCAAAATATCTCCGCTAATAACAGGAAACCTTTTATTTACAATGAAAGGAATATCAACACCATACATCACATCCAACAGCAAAATATTTTGAATTATTCTCTCATATTCTACCTAATAGCTACATCCCTTTATGCATATTACTCCTTTGTTACTTCACAATATTTGGGGTAAAGAAGATATCTTCTTTAGCATTTAGATCGTTAAGACTGGAAATTGTTAAAATTTGACTACATACATTTGATTTTGATGTAAGATACTACTATTTTGTCACTTCACAAAACTTGGCATAATAAAGAAATCTACTTTAGCATTTAGATCCTTAAGCATGAAAATTATTGAAATTTGACTAGAGACATTTGATTTTGACGTATCATATCTTTTAGATGGCTTGGACTACCGAGCATTTTAAAAATCATCATATATCATCATAGCAAAATCTTTAAGATCATCAGTATTATCAAGTGGTATTTCACTAAATTGAACTTTCAAATTTTCCTCTTCAAAGCCTTCTTAATTTCCTCTTTCACGCACAGAGGATTATAACTACAAGCTTTAACATTTCCAAAGCCCCCAACCAAATGTTGTAAAAGTAAAATCCTCCTTTTCATTAGTATACCACCAAAAATTAATGCCAAGTAGTTGATATCACCCATTTTTATCGAGCATACTATCATGTCAGAATCTTTTTTCATTTCTTGAATGGGCTCTGACATTCAGGTACCTAAATACGGTATAAGTAAAAGTTACCCTGAAAAAATTAATATTGAAAAAATAAAGAAGAAAATTGGACGGGTAAAATTATTAAAAATCATGTAAATAGATTCCACAAAATAAGTTAATTCAAGAAACACTCGAGAAAAACAAATGAACAATAAGAATTAATAAAGCCAACCCCAAATGATTGGGATACGACTAATAATGATGGTGAAGATATTTAGCATAAATTTAGAAAGAAGCCTCAATATTAGGTTGAATATAGATAAAAATTTACTCAAAATTTAAACAAGTCATTTATGATAAAAAGTTAAAAAAATCACAAGTCATGCATGTCCCATTGGACCAAAGAGAATAATAGCACCCCATTATGAATCATCAAAAAAATGATTAGAAAATAAAAAATAAAATGTGAAGGCCAAACAACTATCAAAACTCAACTTCAGATAAAAGAAACAACTAAAATTTTAATTTTGAATTAAATAAAAGATGTTTTCCACAACTTTAGTTGATTTCCCTCCACTTTGACTTGAAAACTAAACAAAGGAAACGACTGTGATAATAATGGATAGTGGTGGATACATGATGGCTGACGCAAGAGAGAGCTCGTTGGGATGGATAAATCAGATGGCTGACGCAAGAGAGAGCTCGTTGGGATGGATGAATCACATTACCAAGAGTGAGAGGAGCTCCCCGGAACAAAGATCAACAGCACGAGCGAGAGCGGGCATAGCATATTAGATGGATAAACCAAATTGCACAAGGAACCAAGCAAAGCTCATTGGAATGGAGCAATTGTGTGAGCAAGAGTGAGGTTAGAGCTTGCAGGCAATCAGACAGCGTGATAGTTTGGCTGTTTTCCTGATATTGAATAAACATAAATATTTATTATTACCAAGTCATGCCTCCACCTATTTGAGAAGTGGATGATTCCGTACTTGGGCTTAATTGATTGACTCGCTCAACCCAAATGGGTCAAAATGATAGCCCATTCAAGCCAACACACTAAATGGTAAAAGTGATGGGTAGTCGTTGAAACATATTTTTTGATCGATATCGTTATCTTGAAGCTCTTAATGCCAAAACATAATGGAGTTAATATATCATAAATCGTCTAAAATAACATCAAGATCAAATATTGTATTTTCTTATTGCCAGAAAATGATGAAAATTATGCACAAGCTTAATATCAATTTATGTCTTCTTACAAACAATCCACACCACAAATCAAACTCCAATGTGAATCATGGTAACTCCAAAATGCACAAAGTTCAAAATTAAGATTGCTAGTATCCATCCGGTAAGTGTGTTTACTAGTATCCACTGAAATCTCATCCAATTATGCAATAAAACATATAAAATTTCATTGAACAACTTGAGTTAAATAGGTTCTACAAAACAGTAAAATGTCGTGATTTCCTCTTAAAATAATATGAGCAAAACCAAAACAATCACCTTCTAAAATAATTTTTTTTAATTAAAAGTAAACAAATAAGCCCTGATTGTCCAAAACTTTGAAAGGAAAACAGATCAACCAAAACCAATTCAAAATTGCTTAAGAAAATTAGTTGCATCCAACTTTACATGGTGACCATTGGTGACAGTAAGGACAAAAAAAAAAGCAAAAAAATTTAAAAAGCTTCCCGCACTTTTGTTACGATCAATCTTATGTGACAATGGTTTGCCTGAAGGCCTGTTTACCAGATCCTACTTCCATACAGCAGATCCCGGACCAATAAACTGGACAGAAGGAAAAAATCACTGCTATTTGTTCAAGAGATAATAACATAGCCGCGAGTCTAAAATTCGACAGCAAAAATGGAGAATAAACGTACTTTAGGCGGGTTAAATCCTCTGTGATAAACTCCCGATGATCATTTCCTTGTTCGTTTGGGAGGAGGAACATTGAAAAGGTGGAACACATAATCCAGAAAATTAATTACTCATAAATTACTGTATTCAGGTAAGTTAAATATTCATTTAAAAGTAGAAAAGAAGTGGATAAGAGTCATCAGTGTGTCAAGTAGAAGTACACTAGAAAGGAAATAAACAAGTAATTGACAGTCTTAACAGTTTTAAATGGCTAAGAGTTTGATATAAATTACAAGGAAACATAACCGGAAAGTGTATATTTATATGAAAAGTAGCACAAAACATGTCTTTAAATTTTGAAAACATTTATGAAGCTATTCTCAGGCTTGGGTAAGGCTGACGATAGGCATTATGACATAATAATCCACATTTAGGGAATAACAATATCACTGTAAAGTAAACACAATGAGAAATAAAATTCTGTTAAAAATTAAGTAATCAATAAAAATAAACTACAGAATATTGTATTTGAAATGCACATCCAAACAGCCAAAAAGTTCATAGGAAAATAACTGTAATGTACAGTGAAAAGCCAAAAACTAATACCTTAATTTGCTGAGATTTTACCGCGGACACCGTTTCTATAGGTTGGAGGCCACTGTTCTCCGCAAGAGCCATTGGGATTAAATCTAGAGCTTCAGCAAAGGATCTAATTGCATACTGCAACAAATAAAAAGGAAAAGAAGAAGATAAGAAACTAACTTTCTAAGTCAGATGAGCCATTAAAGCAAAGCAGAAACGCAACTTGAAGAATAAATTAACCACCTGCTCCACTCCTGGATATCTATATGCAGCAGCATCAACAGCAATCGAACAAGAAATTTCAGCAGATCCACCGCCATATACAATGGAATTGTTACGAATGAGATTCCTTGCTACACAAAGTGCATCATGGAGACTGCGCTTTGTTTCCTCGATCATCATTTTATTACCTAAACAATAAAAACCAATTACACAGAATTAAGAGTATCAACCACATCAACTAGATTCAGTATACTAGGACACCAGCTAGCTTAGCATGAGTGGATGTCATGCACTGAAACCAATCATCTATGATCTAACTAAAAATCTGATACAATCTGACGTCAAAATCAGTACGGCTTTCCCCCAAACACAAATGTTTTCTTCAATAATCCAAACAACACAACAAGAATACAAAAAATAAGCACCTACAATTCGAGAGTTAAGCGATCTCTCCCAATTCCTACAATTCGAGAGATAAGAAATCTCTCCCAAACCCTAAACCCAAGACTCTCAATCCAATCTCATGCATAAAACTCAACCCTAAACATAATAAGCTTATTTGTAACCAACAATAATAATAATAAAAGACTAAATTACCCTTACGCATATAAAAGACAAAATTGCCCTTAGGCTATGCACTAGCATAACAATATTATCCCCCCAAAAGATACAATGTCCTCAAGGTGAAAAATATAAGTGTTCCTCAACTATAGTTGTCTCAATTTCATCATCCTCTACCTCTTAATTGATTGACTAGGGTTAAACTTCTCATCACATTGAAATCATAATCCCTTGGCTCGCTTCAACAGAAATTGTCTTCGTAAAACATTTAAGTGTCGCTCCCAATTGTGGCCAATTATTTATGTCCTGTGCAGCCTCCGTCTGGATTTTCACTGTTTGAGCTTTTGATATTGTCGTGGTTGTAGTCGTTCGGTACAACACTCCATCTGTGTTGCTCCTGCTAGCCTTCTCCATCTAGTTCTTGTCCTCCACCATTTGGGCTAGCTTCATCATCCCCCTCAATTCCCACAGTCTCAATGGTTGAAGTGCTGCCTAAATATAGAGCTTTAAACCCTTCATAAAATTCTCCTTCAATAATGCTTCACAAATCCCTCACAGTCGTCCAGACAATAGTTCAAATCTTTTCATATATTCCATGATCGACCCCTCCCGAGTCAAAACATAGAATTGCTAGTGTAAGGGTCTGTTTGAGAAAGTTGCAACTTATCCAGATAAGCTGTTTATCCTGATAATTTGCTGATAAGCAGCTGATCCAGATAAACTGTCTGACTGTTTGGTTTCTGCGTTTGGAAAATAGCTAAATCTGGATAAATGATCATTTTGTCCCTATTTTGAATAAGCTATTTAGCTGTTTGGTTTGTGCATTTGAAAAACAGCTGATTTGCAGCAATTTGTAGATATAAGATCATTCAGACAAGCGTAGTGTTGTAGTCTACACTAAAACTTTAACAGCTACACATCTAATAGTTGAGAACCAAAAAATAACATTTCATAACAATACGACATCAGATGCCAACCCATGACCAATGAAGAGTAATGGTAAATGTCGAAGTCAGACAATAATTGATCTTTAGTTGGTGAATGTCTAGCATCAGTAGGAGCCAACGTCTAGCAATGATGTCATTCAGTGGGAAACAATAGGAAATGCATTAAAATCCTCTACATATAGCATAAAAATTTTGGTTCAAAATCCACACGTGTAAAAATAGAACCTACACATATACTTGTGGAGGAGATACTATGGACCGTTCTAAAAAGACTTGAATGCTCCATCAGATGGTTGATTGATCATTTCGCATTTTTTTAACATTTAAACATATTATTGCGCTCATAGTTGTATAAAATCGGAATCGTACTATTCACGCAATCAAGAAGCCCATTTCAACCATAAACAGACAAAAATTGTTATATGTTTGACTACTTAAATGATCTTAAAAAGTTTTCAATTTTCTTCTGAGTCTATGTATGATTTTAAATTCATTGAGACTCAAATCCAAGTGTTTTTTGTATGGTCAGTTTATTTCATCAAAACACGTTGTCTAGACAATAAAATTTGTTGAAAATAGATCTCAAAATCCATTCTTTTTAAGTTCTTGATCCATATACTTCGGTGCTTTATTATAAAGAATTTATTTTAAATATGTGCTTAATCAAATTAATTCTTCGGCTGCAAATCGCTTCTCATTATGGCTTCAATAGGACGCATACGCATATATTTGAAACAAAATTTAACATGCACAAATCCAAAAATAGCATCCCCATGAATTCAAATATCCAAACAAAATTGCTGCATAATTGATCAAATTCCAATGAATTACAAAACAAGCAAAAACTACTGAGACAATATTTCATACAATGCATGGCAGTTCAATTTGTTAAATACTAGTCTTTTCCATCAAGTACTATAACTCCATTAAACCAAAAATGCAACATCTAATCTGAACTGTTTAGAATTTCTCATCAAGCTCACAGTAATAGCTCCCAATTGAGACCACTGTTTAATTACACTTGAAAGTTTTCATCAGCAAGAAGAGTAATAACAAATTTACTCTTTATGGAGAGTAAACGAGCTCAAAGTTGATCTATAATGCAATGGAAAAGCGCAGTGAAACAAATATATGCCAAAAAGAACTCAACTACAAAAGATTCTTTCAGCTGCCAATCTACTCTTACTATGTTTGGTTTTTTTTTATCAAAGAACTCGGTTTTGACAATAAGAGAATCAGAAAGTTATAATAAAGATATTTGCCTTCTAACTTCTACGAAGAGAAGCAGTGGAGCGGGAGACAGAAGATCTGGTGAAGATAGAAGAATGCGTCACTGAGACTGCCATGAATAGTTTTAATCCTGGCTAAACTCGGTCAAAGAAGTTCAAAATCAACATGTTTTGCAGGTTTGAAAGCGAACTAACTGAGCTCTAGAGAATGGAAAAGAACAACGGGATCGTGGATCGCGGCCAGGGAAGGGAACGACGGGATCGCGGCTTGCATAGACCACCAAAACTCCCATCTTCATCCTTGCGCACCACTTCTATCAGAAATTTGTCTGTTCGTGCCTTCTTCCGAGATCGAGGGCAGCAGAGTAAAGAATCCCGAACTAACACGCCGCGTTTATTAAGAAAATAAATCCGCTGTTTTTAAAACGCCGACAAAACTTTCGAACCAAACAGGGAAAGGCAGTGTTTTCAAAACGCCCTGCACTTTTAAGCTGCCCCAAACATTCCCTAAGTCTCCTTCACGATTGGCTCAAAAATGTTCCAGCAAACAATCCTTAAATTCATCCCATGAACGAATCAAATATCTAGCCTCCCTCCACTTAAATCAAGCTAGGGTTTCCCCTCCAAACACAATCCTACCAAAATGAGCTTCTCCTCCCCATCTAACCAATTCACTATGAAGTATCGCTCCACCCGATACACCCACCCATATATGTCTTCCCCCTCAAAGATCGGCATCTTCAACATCCTAACACTATCAACTACATCCCAACTTCCTCTCCTTCCACTATTTCCCACCCTATATCAAGGGTAAAACTGTCTCCTTCGATCAAAGTCATATCCCTTCCCTGCTTCTCTCCTTTCTTTTTTGTGCTCCCCCATACCTCTTGCATGATCTCTTCTCCATGTTTGGACCAAACCGTCGCCATCAGAAATCTCTACTTCACCCTCAATCAAAGCCCTGAGAGAGGGTTCGTGATGGTGGATATTTTCCTCCTGTTCGATCTCATTTCCTTCGGGTTTTGCAAATTGAGACGTCGATTAGCATCTCAATGAGCCTCTTTATCATCTCTCAAATTTTCCACATACTCTCAAATTGGTCCTACATTTAGTTCTCCATAGAAGAAAGCCTATCAGCTATATTGGTGAATCTTTCTTCCATCCCAGATCTAAGTTGGCTAATCTCTTTCTCTAATTTCTCCTTCAAATCATCTACTTTCTTGGTTGTCATTCTTCTTAGAATTTTTTTATCACAAAAGACAATTTTTATATGTTGAAATCCATCATCTACTTCTAGATGAGACAAATCGAGCGAGTATTCAGCAAGTTTGTGATCCAAGATCATTCCAATCTGATGATGGCTTCCCAGGTAGCTCCAATAGCGATTGTCTATTAGTTGAGGTCTCGTCTTCCCAACTAGCTTGGAATCGCGGCTGCTGCACTTAGGAAGAGCTAGAACAAGAGATAGATGGGAGTTATGAAACCGGAATAGAAGAAAGTCAGGAGTTTTACATCTCTGTACGCCACTTCACGGTCGTTGCCTTCCCAAGTAGCTTGAATCAAGACTCTATCGAGTAGACAGCATGGGAGGAAGAGGAAAATGGGAGGTTCGGGTCTCTATACGCCGCTTCCCAATCATTGCCTTTTCAGGTAGCTCTGATCGCGACTGTATTGGGTAGACGACGTGGACACAAGAGAGGAGAATTACGAATCTCGGTACACCGCAATTTCATCGATTTGTCGGTCTTCACGGAAGACGAAAAGTGTGATTCCTTTGTGGCCTTCCCCGCAAGCTAAAAGGCTCAAGTTTCAAGTCTCCGTAAGCTACGATTTCATCATGGTTTTCCTTAACCTGACACGCTTTATCACAGAAATTAGGACAAACACAAATATTTTACTCAATAATTCAAACAAATCAACAAGAATATAAAAAATAAGTACCTACATTTCGAGAGGCAGGCAATCTCACCAAAATCCTACAACTCAAGAGGTAAGAAATCTCTCCCAAAACCCTAAGAGCCTAGGGCTCACAATTTAATCTCATGAATAAAACCCAACCCTAAACATAATAAGTCTATTTATACCGAACAATAATAATAATAAAAGACTAAATCGCCCTTAGGCTAGGCATCGGCGTAACTAAATCCAAATCAAAAGTATCGGTCTATAAAAAATAGAGAAATATTTGTCTAGAGATAAATCTTAGAAATATAATAAAATTTGAAGAGAAGCAGCTAAAAGAAACAAATTACATTAGGCAAAATTGTGTAATTTCCCAACCATGTCATTCCATGAGTTTTGATATGTAGAAGAGAATGAAAGTACCATAATTAAGGCCAATTGGTTAAAATGAATAAATGTCTCATAAGTATTATATGAAAAAAAATATATATAAACTACTATTTAAAACTTGTGATTATACAAAAGTTATGTTGCATAAATGCATGAGTTGAGTAGTAAGGAGTCATTCATCAAAATAAAAAAATTGAGATGGATATCTAGCAAAACTACAAAAGATCATTTGAAAAATGATTCTCTTATAAGGGCCATCAAGGGTAGCATCCATTAAAGATAAGATAATGAAAAAAAAAGCTTTAGATGGTTTAGACCTAAAAAAGTTTAACATAACAATTAAGTATGCTAGAAACGATAATGTTAAGATAGATGTATAATAATACTATGAAGAAAAAAAGGAAGAGTTATATTAAAGAAATGGTTAGAACAACATATATTGAAGATAAAATAATTTTAAGGAAACTTCATGGTAGAGTCATGTAAAATGAAACATAGAAATATAACAATTAAATAAGTAGATAAAATTAATATTGACAAAAATAAGCTAATTATATTAGAGACATGGTTGAAATAACATCTATTGAAAATTAAGCATTTTTAAATGGACTTCTATTAGAAGACTAGAAAGTATTAATGTTATTAAAAATAGGAAGAATGGTAGACCTGAGTGAAAATAGATAATAGTTATTCAATAAGATTTATAAAGAATAGGTTAAATAACAAGGCCTCAAATAAATCGGTTAGAGCTAACGGCAGTGACGATGACAATGATATCTCTTCAGATTCAATATACCTATTATTTTTCATATTTTAAGCTTGCCACATACAGAAAGTTTGAGTTAATTATAATAATACTATGAAGAGCCTCTCTACAAGCCTCCCTCATCTATTAATAACTAAATTAGGTCTCCCAAGTAGACCCGGTTCACCAAATTAGAAGCTTTTGGAGCCTTTTAGTGCTCATTATTAAAAAAATAAAAATAATAATAATACTATGAAGAAAAAAAGGAAGAGATATATTAAAGAAATGGTTAGAACAGCATATATTGAAGATAAAATAATTTTAAGGAAACTTCATGTAGTCATGTAAAATGAAACATAGAAAATATAACAATTAAATAAGTAGATAAAATTAATATTGACAAAAATAAGCTAATTATATTAGAGATATGGTTGAAATAAAATCTATTGAAAATTAAACATTTTTAAATGGACTTCTATTAGAAGACTAGAAAGTATTAATGTTATTAAAAATAGGAAGAATGGTAGACCTGAGTGAAAATAGATAATAGTTATTCAATAAGATTTATAAAGAATAGGTTAAATAACAAGGCCTCAAATAAATGGGTTAGAGCTAACGGCAATAACGATGACAATGATATCTCTTCAGATTCAATATACCTATTATTTTCATATTTTAAGCTTGCCACATACAGAAAGTTTGAGTTAATTATAATGATTATTATGATCTCTCGTCCCATCCACCATATTTATTTTTTATAATTTTTTTTAGATGTTATCAGCTTTCGTATTGGCATATAGAGATTGATCAAAACCACTAGGTAAAAAATCAAAATAATTCACATTAACTATTATCAATTGTTTTTGTATTGGCAGTTGGCACTTACATAGAAATTAATCAAAAAACTAGTTAAAAAAATCAAAATAAGACAGAATAATTATTATCAATTTTTTAAACATATTAATCTTCTAAGGCACCTGAAGCATAGTTCGTGCATATATAGCTTAAACTTATCAACATTTCTTTAAATAAAAATCCAAAAAAAAAAACATGACTGGCAGCTATTTCTCACAGAAAATCTATTATAACATCCACCAAAATAGTTGTCTCGGTCTATATATAATCCTAATGCTTGTACTATATATAATAAAAAGTTTTATAACTTATTATAACGCAATCTAAATACTTCCTCAAAAAAACTTAGAGTTTACTACAACCATAAGTTTTAGATTACTAATATTAAATTTAAGAAAACACTGAGACATTGCCTAAATAATATATTCTTTCATCAAATCTAATGAAAAACTATAACTTTTTTATATAGGTTCTTGAAACCAAAGATTAAACTGATAATTCATTTAGAAAGTCCAATCAATCTCAAGAGTGTATCCCAGTGTTTGTATTAAATAAAATATCAACTTTTACGACTTTTTATAATGCAAATTTTTTACTATTTCATATCAAACACTAGAATACAGTGAAACCACAAACTTTCAATTACAAATATAAATTTTAGGAAAACTAAAATAGATTGCCTTTATAATTTATTTTTTATCAAATCTAATAAAAACTATATTTTCTTATAAAGGTGCTTATCTTGAACTAATGCTTAAAATTGAGCAATTGAATATTGGGGTTTTTTATGTTCATAAGGCGAGCCATAAGTCTAGAGACATTATGAGGCGTAATAGTCATATTTTAAAAATTGGGTAGTGAAAATAAAAAATCAAAAATAATATATTAGCATCATAACTTACAAAGTGCCATCCTCAACCTAATTTCTTGGTTTCGGCTTTGGTTCAAAATCGAACCATCTCATAAAGGAAAAAAAAATAGCAAATAAGACGCACACCAAACATGGAGGCATACGCCTCACCAAATAGGTGTAATCCTAGCCCGAGTTATTCAAGGAATGCCCCTCAATGCGCTCTTCGTCTTATTTGTGCTAATGCATGCCTCAAATTTTGCAATTTTAAACAAGACTTGAAACCTAAGATTATGCTTATAATTCATTAAGGATGTCTAATATATCTCTTGAATTTAACAATTTTATTCACATTCCATACCCTGTAATTTTCTAATCTTCAAAGATAGTATAATCTCCATTTTACCAGATAGTTGATAGTAGGCATGCATCACACAAACCATAAATTCCATTTTAGATGGCAGAATCAAGCCAAGAAAAACATCAGTAATTTATTTAACAATAGACAATTTTGATTGCATAAAAAAAATTCAGATATTTGTAGCATTGACTTGCAAAATTCCAAAATTTAATGCAAAGGTTGCCAGTGAACTTTGCATGCATCGGAAAAAGATTAATTTTATAATTGCAATCTAAGAACTTTATTTCACATCAAAAATATAAAACGACCCTGATATATGAAAGGAAAAAAATGAAGCAGGATATAACGATATGTTTCAACAACAACGAGGTAAAATAACCATGATTTATAATAGGGAAAAATTTTGAAGCAGAATATAATGATATGCTTTCATGCCAGTATGAGAATACTGATGATAAATATTAGAATACAAATGATAAATTTGAGGGGTTTTTTTTTCCTTTTTTTTTTTTGCAGCTTTTGTATTTCTATTTATATTTAAATTTATTACACATGCCAAGCATTCCAATCAATTCCTACTTAAAAGTACACTACATTTAAGCTTTCGTCTTAGTTCAAAGAAACCACAATAAGCTATCACAACTCCATGATAAGACATGGATTTTACAGAACTCAAATGACTAAGATTTATCCCATTGGAAGTTTTCACAAACTGCAATGAGCTAGAATGATCACACATAAGATGTGATTTTTTGCATGGTTCAAATAACCAAGATTTTATATGGGTTTCTTATGACATAAGCAGATTTTTTTAAAGGTAAAATATATTCGAGAAAGGGAGTTTCTAAACGGGCTTTTATAATTCATCTTACCATCCACATTATTTAAGTTTCATGTTAGAGGTAAAATATATTGAAGAAAGGACTTTCTACATGGCCTACTAAAATTCATCCCATCTTCCACATTATTTGATGTGCTCCGAGACAAGTCATAAGAAGTTGGAAGAAATTTATGAATTTTGACATAAATACAGAATCCAACCACCGAACTTCTGATGTGATTGTAGCACTATATTCTCACAAAAAACGGTGTTATGAGTAGCAATAATGTTAAGCAGAGCAATAGTCACAAACTCAGTGACGCATAAAACATTTAACAGTATACTTTGCGTGTCTATATATATCTATTACAAATTACACACACACACACACACATATATATATACACACATACACACGCACACATACATACATACATTACATGCATACATCTGGGTATGTATAGGGCGCAAATGCACAAGTCTGCTGAATATAGCAGCACTTAAAATTAATAAAAATGTTGAGGAATATGATACAGATAAGATAAGACAAATACCACATACACAACAAACAGTCATGCAAATAAAATTGAAAATGCTTGCATACCTCCTCGAATGAATATTGTCACAGCTCTGGAGTTTGCACATTGCTCAATATATAACATCCGGTCCTTCGTAGTCCCAAATGACTTTTCTCTAACTAGACCAGCCTAAATGACAAAAGAAGTCAATTCAGTCTAAATAAAACTATAAGCATCTAAAATATATATATTGAAAAACTGAAAACATGTATTCAGCTAAATAAAACTATAAGCATCTAAAATATATATATTAATTCAAAATATATTAATAATGAAGGAAAAACCATTATTGAACATTTATAATGAAGGAATAACCATTATTGAACATTTACAATAGCATAGAAGACAATGAAGGAAATGACTACTATTGACAATTTAAGCATGAGCCACAAAGATCATACACCATCATCATTATCATCAACTTTATTCCCATTAATTGGGATCACTTCATGAACCCTTCTCATACATTTATTTAAATATCTAGAGTTGCATACTATGCATATGGTATTAACTCTAGTTAAACTCTAATTAAAGCAAGTATTATTTCTCACGAAGTCCCTCGTATTAGCTCTAGCTTATGCACACCTTTCCTTCACAAATTCTAGCCAACTTATCCTTTGATCTGACCATATTTCCATCCTACGTTCAAATCAACCTTGCAATATATCGGTGGATCTTTTGCTCTACATTCTATATGTTCAAGTAATCTAAATTTTAATTTTTGACAGCCTTGTCTTCAAATAATAAAAGCAGTACAAACGATAGGGGTGTCAATTCGGGTTGGTGGGTCAGTTCGGGTCTGACCGAAAATAACCAGACCCGAATCAAGTTAACCTGAAATCGACCCGAATAATAAAGAGGGGTCGAATTCTCTAACCTGAACCCAAGTCAAAAAATATTCGGGTCAAATCTAGGGATATGTCAATTTGGGTCGAGTTCGGGTCGTGTTGACGTATCGGCTCAATTTTTAACATCCAGGGATATGTCAATTTGGGTCGGCGAGACTGGTTCGGTCAAACCCGAATCGGGTAAACCCGAACCCGACCCAAATAATCAACGGGTCGAATTCTCACGGATTTTTTGAGTCGGGTCCGAGTCGTGTTGTCGCGTCAAATCTATTTCTAACATACATTCTTAATGGTCACAATCTTACACACACCTAGCTTATTGTTATAATTTAGGTGTTTCCAAACAATCTCATCGATACTAAAACAACATAACAACACAAGATTATAAAAGACAAGATATCTGCATACCTCATGTAGTCAATTCATTAGATAAATAATATTGTTAAAAAAAGGTGAAACTAGTTCATGAGACTTCCAACCAATGAGGAACAACCATATCCAAACAATGGTGCATTCCGTGCATGGAGATTCTAAAAAGAGTGTACCAATTTCATGAGGCTTCCATAGCCTAAAAAAGAGTGCGCATATGAATAGATATTAGAACAAATGCTGGATTTGGGAAGGGTTAGAGAGATTTGGAGTAATTTGACTAATATTCATTGGAGGAAAAAAAAGGCCATCCTCCCCTCATCTTAGGAGGAAAAAAGGTGACTCTCCACATAATTAAATTTTTATATTACTAATTTCAAATGCAAGATCAATATTATTATAGTCATTCACAACCTAGGAACAATTTGCTTAATGAAATTGATCATTCTTTATTAAGATAAACCAATTTATCAAACATAAGGAAAAAATGTATTCACACGCTTAATGAAATTGATCATTCTTTATTAAGATAAACTAATTTATCAAACATAAGGAAAAAATGTATTCACACTATTCTCACAAAAAGTACTGCCACAAGATTTTTAATTAAGTCTAATGAAATTATTCTAATTTTTTAATGAACTTTCAAGTGAATTAATTTGGCAATTATACATTGGATGATTTAAAAATAAGCTAAATGAGGATCATCTATAATAATATTCTTTTCTACACACACACACACACACACATGTGGGCGTGTATTGTTGGCACTATATAATCATATTGGTAATAAATATGATTTAAAATGCCCTTTGAAGCCTCGCCTTTATTGCATGTGTTTCAGTTTAACCCATAAATTAGGACCGCCAAGTTCATGGCAAAAGTTTAGATCCCTTCCATTAAAGGTCTCATAAAAAAAAAAATAAAAGGAAACCCAATTGTAAGGTTGAATCATCGAACCACCTGTATACACACACATAGATCCCAGCAAACATAAAGATTATATACCCCTTAATGACAAATTTTGTAATCAAATTAACACCAATACTGTCAATGGCATGCCAAACCTAATCCAACACACGATAATGACAACGCAAAAATCACCATTCTCAAGCTGCAAAATCAGCTTCACCACATCCAATGCTAAGCCAATAACTTCCCAATGCTGAAAGTTAACAAAATTTGGTCCATCTATGAGTAGAAGAAAATGAAGTAGCTTTGTTAGCAACAGAGAACCAATTGAGAACTAATTCACACTTATCATAAGAATGTCAGCAATAAAAACAAAAGGATAGCTTCCTAACAAAAACAGCACACCTTCAATAACATCAAATTAACTACCAATAGTGTCATTCTAATAAGTTAAGACTTGATAACGCCAGTACACAAGTTTACAACAAATGAGACCTCAATTATTAGGAAACTACTTTATAATATAGTTAGTAGATTAAATTTATTGCATTGACTCTATGGAAAATAAACACAAGAAATAGATTTCTCATCTAACAAAACAATGTTATCCCAAACAATAGTCAACTCTATTCCTTCTACCCCCGGCAACCAAAACTTTCATGTGCTCACCAGTTGTCCCACTTCCACCTCATCACATATGTTCTTGTTATCATGCCACTTCATTTCCAGCTTACACAAGCTTGATCCATTGTCTGCTCAATGTAAACCCATCACACACTCACCCAATCGCACAATATTCCACTACAACACTGATTGTCACATTGACGCTCTTTCACCACCTCCATAATTTTTTATCTCCCACCCATGACTTCAAACACGCCCAACAACGTTGCAACAACTCATTCTGCATCTCTTGTTATTATTTCCATTGCACTTATTGTCACTCACCTACTAGCACAATCTTTCCTTCATCACAACTTCTCAATGATATGAGATAACTCCAACTGCCAGACTCACCAGGTGTCCCATTTCCACCTCTCCTCCACACAGGCTTGCTATTATGCAGCTTTACTGCCAGCTTGCACAAGCTTGATCCGTTGTCTGCTCAATGTAAACCCATGCAAACAATTACCCAAGCGCACAATATCCCACTACAACACTGATTGTTACATTAATGCTCGTTCACCAACCTCCATAATTTTATATCTCCCACACATGCTTCAAACACAGCCAACACTTGTTGCAACACCTCATTTTGCATCTCTTGTTATTATTTCCATTTCACTTATTGTCACTCAACTAGTAGCACAATCTTTCCTTCATTACAAATTCTCGATGATATGAGATAACTCCAATTCCCTGACTCATTTTCCTTTAATGGTATCATGGTTTCTCAATGTCTCTTAATAAAAAAAAAGAAAACCTCCAACTATGGTGAGGCTATAAAATTCAACACTAACAACTATCTCCTATAATTAAGAGACATTTGTTTAGCCATCGATTCTTATAACAAATTGCATCACATTCATCTTCCTATTCTAGATCTCGTGACACCTTTACATTTTCAAAAAAGTAAAGATTTGGCTATGGCATTCTTACTCGGTCAATGACCATTTGGCCATCTCTTACCTCAGTTGTCAAGTTTCAAAAAATAATACTAAGAGGTTGGACGCTCTCCATTCAGTTTATTTTCAAATGAGTAAAACCTATCATGTCAACACTCTGTGCAAAATGTCTTTCTCAATAAATGATTTTTTGAATATTGCGTTTTACGGGCTTTTTTGAAAATGGAGTTTCCTAATTTCTATTAGACGCGGATCGCGGGTATAACCTCGCGATCCGCGTTTCGATCGAGCAAAGAACACTCGCTGCCCTCGCCTCATTCTCTGTCGTAACCGCTCGACCGATATCCTCTCGCCTAAGCGTTTGACCCATCGACCGATCTCCTCTCCTCCTCCTCTCGCCTAAGCGTTCGATCGAACCAATCTCTTCTCCTCCTCTCGCCTAAGCGTCAGACCGATCTACTCTCCTCTCGCACGGTGGAAGAATGGGCGGAGCACCTGCGTCGAAGACTCGGTATCACCTCTCCTCCTCTGACTCGCCTACTTCTTGCCCCCATTTCTCTCGGCTCGAGCTCGGTAAACTGCTGCCTTTTTTTTTTGTTCTTTCCTCTCCTTAGGATGGTTTTTTTCTCTCATTTGGATTTGTTTGTGTATCTTTTGTTATTTTATTTTTTTAATCTTTTCTCTCCTTAGATTTGTAAAAATTCAACATGAAACTTTCGCTAGAGCTAGGTCTGCAAATATTTTTACTATTTTCTTACGCTTGAAGGATTAAGGTGGATCCAACAAATGTGTACTTTTATTTCAGTCATCATATATCATTCTTTAAATTCAAAACTTTCCAAACTTGATCATTATAGAGAAGTATACAAAATTTTTATTGAGCTTGGTAAGTTTAACAACTCTTTAATACAAAGGACGGTCATCAAAGCACATTTTTTTAATTGAAGTTATAAAATTTTCAACTTGTGTGCTCTACATTTTCTTAGTTGATTTTCATTACAATCATTTTAATTTTGGAAGATCAGGTGTTTACAAAAATGCACAAACCAAACAACTACACAATTTTTTCAAAATAGGGGCAGACTGGTCTTTTATCCAGAATTAGCTGTTTTCCAAACGCACAAACCAAACAACCAGACAGCTTATCTCAAATTTTATCCGGATCAGCTGCTTATCAGCAGATTATCAGGATAAACAGCTTGTCTGGATAATCTGGATAAGCTGCAACTGCCCCAAACAGACCCTTAATAAGATATTTCAACTTCAACTTTCTCAAATTTTCTAAATATGTTTCTTTGATCACAATATTATCTTATCATAAATTTTAAACATTTCTTATTTCTTATCTTTTATGGTTCTTCCAATATGAAAATTGATTTTGAGTGTATCATCAAAAGAATCTTTAATTTTGTTAGAATTTCCCCAATTCATCATTCAAATTAGAACGAATGATTTGTGAAGAACCTTCTTATTCCTTTTTGAAATCCTTTTTGTTGGGTTCATATACTTTTCCTCTAAAATAAAAAATAGAAAAATTTTATTATTTCAAGATTTTTCTTTAATCGTTTGATAACTTAACTATTTTGATGACCCCTTTATGTTTTGGCAAAGTTCAAGTTGAAAACTTTTGACACCAGCTCTACTAGTTTATGACATTTTCATCCTTGCTAAAACTGACAATGATCATATCAATTATGGTAATGGTGGTTAAACTAATAGCAATCATGGTCATGACGAATACAGTCATGAGAGAAAGTCCTTTTCTCCTTTCTCTCATTAGAGTTGTACCAATCGTTCAAAGCATTGTTGAGCAAAACATGATTGTCCCTCCATTGTCCAATATGCCTCTAATTACTACTGTTTTCACTCCCAAAACTCTTCAAGGTATGTCAACCTTCCTCAAAAGGACTATCCCCTTATTCAACACTCTCAAACCATACATATAAACCCCCCACCATTTCATTTCCACCCATGGCTTTGCAACAGTTTCTTCGAGTAGTAAATCCAAGATTTTAGAGTCTATTGTGCTTCTTTACATATGGATGGTAATCAAATGCTCACCTTATCGTACAATGTTAATGATCATTCCATTTTTTCAAAAGCATCATCACCTTGTTCAACACTCTGAAACAAATATCCCCCCCCCCCCCCCCCCCAAATGTCATTTCCACGCAAAACTATCTTCCTCTAGCACATCCAAGATTTTACAGGCTCCTGTGCTTCTTCAATATAAAAGGCAATAGAATGCTAACATTACTTGGAAATGCTAATATTTGTTCTACCTCATCCATCACTCACCCCCTCGTCTATGAAAAGCTCTATACTTTACAAAGCCTTTGTAAGCAATGTAGATGTTCGCAAAGTAAATATTTATTTGTTATCCATTCATTATCTCACTAAAGCTCACAACTACGATGTAACATTTTATCCTTCTCACTATATGTTTAAGATCTTGTTATAAAATAAATGGTGGAAATATTGAAATTGAGTTTAGAACTTGACACTTGAGGTCCCTTGTTCCGTTTCCCTAATCGGTTTGTATCAATGGCCTTATCATTTGGACCATTACCTACCACAAAGATTAAGCAAGTTAAATCCTATCTCCTCGTACCCATCCAAGGTGAATGTAATGCCTAAGCGTTACGCAATCATTAAGTGTCTTTCCATTTTACATGATGAGGTTTAATGATGCCCTATTTGAATTAGGTTAATCTAATATTTGGGATTCAATTCTTGTACACACCTAGAATTTAGGTGCTTCATTACCTTTATTAATAATCATTCTCATATCACAAAGATAAATTTATTCAAATATAATTTTGAAGTCTTCAACACGTATTATGCATTTTCCATTGAGAAACAAAAGTTCATCTTCCTTACATGGCCTAGGCCTTGATGTTCCATATGAATATTCCTAGTCAATTTTGGAGTGACACAACTTTGACTACATGCTACTTCACAAATGTATCTCGTCTATCATCCTTAATGATGTAACCTTTTTATTCATTATCTATCTAGAGCTATCACATTTTCCTATTGAAGACATCATTGCCTATATGCTTTGTATATTCAATTCATTAACAAATACTTTCTTAAAGAATGTATCCTTTTAGGATACACTCATTTTTAGAGAGGTTTTTGCTATTATATGCCTAAATACGAGACGGATATATATTTTGGAATAAGTTACTCTTCATCAGTCCTCTTCCTAGAGCCCCACACCATTTTCGTGAATCAACCTCTCCACTTGCTCATTTTTCTTATTTTTCATGCCATTTACAAAATCTCTCCTAAATTCATTCGATGCACATTTTTTAGGATACTCTCATATTTTAAAAAGACTGTCTCTATTATAAGCCTAAATACTAGACAGGTATATACTTCAGCATATGTTCATCAGTCCTCTCCCTATGTGTCTCCACACCATTTCAGTAAACCATCCTCTCCACTTAGTCATTTTCCTCCTAAGCCTCTACTATAGTAAACACAACAACATCTGCCTTCTATAACAACACCATTCATTTTGTTCAAACCAACAGAGCATCAACGTCTCAAGAATTGGCTCATCTCCATGCAAATTGATCTTTGTAAAAGTAAAAAACAATAAACTGATCATCATATTCAATCATATGTGTATAGTGATCATCTTTCCTCTAACTTCTTGCATTTAACCTTTAGTCCTTGACTTCTATTCCCAAGATATACCGAGATGAACTAGAAAATTGCAGAAGGAACACCAAAAAAGTCAGAAGGAACAAATTATGGATGCTAAACTGAAAACCAAAGCTAAATTGGTATGCATGGAGTGTTGAAATATACTGCCTTACACCACCCCATTTGTCAGGCTTAAGTTCATCTTGCCAAAAGCTTTACAAAAGTCAATGAAATCAACTATCTTGACCCCCTTGTCAAGCTTAACATCATTTGAATTCTTATATATATCGCTATAAAACAAAGCTGGTCATTACTGCAAATGGTATAAGTAATAAATTCCTTTATGATGATCCCATTGAAGACATTTGTATGAAGCAACCACCAGACTATGCTGCTGAAGAGGAGGCAATAGTATGTAAGCTCATGTAGGCCATATATGGCTTAAATAAAAAAGTTCAAGCATGGTTCAATAAGTTCTACGAAGTTATTAATAAGGGTGGCTTCAGAACAGCATAAAAAATAACTCCATCTTCTTCAGACGCTTTAGCTTTGTGTTATCTTGGCAATCTATGTATAGAATATTCAACTTATAAGGAGTAATTAGAAAGGGATTACTGAAGTAAAACACTTTCTACAAGTATTTTATAACCAAAAATCGGAATCTGTCATTTTTGGGAATTGAATTGTCCTATATAGCAAATTTCTTAAAGAAAATATACTACTGTCCTTAAGAAAAATTATCTTTAAAGTTCAAAATATGTTGAAACTCCCATTAACATGTAAGTTGATTAGAAAATTATTTTATGTTACACACACGCACATTCTTACAACAGAGAGACGTTTACCACAACAATTCCATACACACTTACAACAGAGAGACATTTATCACGACAACTCCATTAAAAGACTGGTAAGTACATACAACATGATAACCTGCAAAAGAATTAGATCAAGAAAATTGGTTTCTTAATTTCTATAAACAAAAATGCAATACAATCCAAGCAAGAAAAAGTTGATTCTGAACTGAAAACAAAATGATCCAGTAGAACCACAACTATGGCACAAATGAGAAAAAAATTTCAAAATTCCATGCACTATGAGCATCAAGCGGGCCAAATGGCAAGTGTACCCTTCCCAGCTTTTCTGGTGTCAACTCCTGGAATCTAGGAACAATCCTGCCACCTGTAGGCAATAAAAAAAAAAAAGTTAAATTACAATCTAACATAATAAAACAACACATCACAGCACTAGAAGACAACCCAAATACCTCAGCATCCAAACATACCTGTAGCAATTGCAATCAGTTCTAATTCTACACCTCCAACCCATCTAACAGCAGGCAAGTTGCGATGCATCAATAAGTGATTTGCCTCATCATCAAAACCCCACTGGCAAATCACCAGAGTAGAGCCAACATCCTGAAAAGATGGGAGTCACTTAAACTGTAAGGTTCAAAATTAAGAAAGCTTGAAATAAATAAAATTACATGCACTAGGAACAATTTCTTGCATGGTTCAAGAGCTAACAATTCTAGGAAATGATCAGCGAGGACACAACTATGAATGGGTTGCAAAAAAATAAAAAGCCATATATAATACATAGAAAACCAACATACAAATAAATCAGCTATGAAAAGAATTTGACATGTCCAAGCATGCTCATAAACGTAAACACAGCCTCATGTAGATGGAAACAGACATGCACATATGAATGATTGTCAACATGCATTCATACAAAGGGGCAAAAGAGCATACATGCATGAATGCATAAATATAGTTGTCCTTTCAGAGAAATCCTCAAAAACCAACATTATTGTTTAAACCAAACCATTCATATTCTCATCAGGCCTTGAAATAAGGCCTTGCAAGCACATAAAATGGAAACAGCATGCAAGATTGTTAACAAGCATTCACACACAAAAGCACGGGCAGACATAAATGCATAATAGAATTTATCTTATTTAGAATAATCCCCAACAACCTACAAATTTCCTTGAACCAACAACCATCCAAACTCCCATCAAGTCTTGCAAGCCAAACAAGTTGATTATACAGTTTTTTGTTGTCTCTGTGCCTTATCAATAGAGAATGCAGTTGTTACCCGCAGAAAAAATATATTATATTTATCTAAAAAATGTTGAATAATTCACCAGAATGATCGCTTGAGAAAATTACCCAAAACAAAATGCGCATGACAAAAAATTCTTTTTTTTTTCCAAAATCACCATAGCTATTATGTTCATTTGGTAAACAGAGAAGACAGAAATCACATGCAGCTTAGAATTGACCTACCTTACATTTTTGGACCATGTCATCAAAATACTTGAGCTCTTGCTGTCTTAAAGTCTGAAACTTCTCCACAGTGTCAATGTCCACCTTATGCTTTGTCTTTGGCTTGGGTGGCTCAAATGGGCAGGTCAAAATAGCAATTTTTGCATCTTCAATTCTTTTGGGCATCTGAGGATGGCTCATATCCTTGTCAACAATGATTCCATATATGAGTTCAGTATCTTCCAGCTTTCCTCCAACTTTTCCTTCCACCTTAATCAGATCCAAATTGACATCTTTTCTCTCTAAATCTGCAACTGCTAGTACAGCTTTAACAGCTATTTCTGCTAAACTTTTCTTGCAACGATTGACTCTGCATAAAATGGATTTAATTTTACTAACTTGTGGATCATAGGAAAAAATAATAGCCTTTGCAATATCATACATAAAATGTTTCACGGGTTCCCGTGTCCATTTGAAACTCAAAATAACTTGCAACAATAAGGTGAACGTTCAAAAATCGAGAAAAATAAGTATGATGAGGTAACTTAATGTGGCAATATCAGCATACTCAGGTAACATATTATACATATATTGTAATACAGAAGTAGTAACTTAGCCATTCCCATTCATAAAAAAAATGATCCACACAACAAATTTTGGACATAACAACAACAAGAACAAGAATCTGTGTGTATCATCCATGATGTAGATAGAATAGGCAAAGAGGCATCCTGTGAGGTTTGAAGGAAACTTTTTAAATAATAACAATTTTGGAAGCTGAACAATCAAAACAAATTGAGAATTCCCAATGAGGATCAAATATTTTAATAAATGCTTTTGAAGTGATTTATGTAGTTTCCAAAATAGCGTTCAATGAGTGAGCCTTCTATAATAGCCATAGGATGAATTTTAATTGGTATCTTTTGGTGTGTTTCCTATTACATTTCAGTCCCTTCTAAAGCCCTTCTCATGCATTATTTATACCCTCAACTCTTCAATGAGAAATAACTTTAACCTCTTGCAAATCTTGTATTTATAAAGTGTTGATGTGCTATTACTATTTTGGACTGATTTACATTCACAATCAAGTTTTATGAACCCTAAAATATCATTTTCTCTCTTGTTTCTTATTCTGCTGCATTTCAATCCCCATCATCTTCACAGAACTTCAAACAGCCCGCATCCTCTTCAAAGGTCAGGTCCTATCACACATAGATGTTAATAATACAAAATAGTGCACACCATGGGGCATGGCGCGGCGCACCCTCACGCCACTTGCATGATGTAGCACAGCTTACCAAAATAGCTCACGCCATTTGCATCAAGCATGGGAAATCTCGCAAGGCGCATAGTGCACACCAAGTTGATTTTTAAATTTACATGAAAAATAAAGAAAATTGACATTCATACAATTCAATTCTTATATATTTGCATATCAGTCTAAACGTTAATAATTATTTTTATAGCACTCAAATTCTTAATAACACATAAAAATGCCACTAACACTGCTTTCTTAAAGTGAAACACCTCTTTCTATTATATTTCCCTCCTTTTTATAGCCCTTCATGTATTATTATATCCTCATTGCTTCAATGAGAAGTAGCTTTAATCTCTTGTAAATCCTTTAATTATAAAGTGTTGATGTACTAATAGTATTTTGGATTGATTTATGAACATCCAGAATCAAGGCTCATGAGCCCTACAATATCCTTTCCTCTCTTGTTTCATATTCTCATAAAGTTAAATCACCATCTTCTTCATAGAAGGTCAAACCACCCTAAACCTCTTCAAAAATAGAGTCATACTCCCCATACATGTCAACAATGCAACATGGTGCACACCATGGGACAAGGTGCAGTGCACTCTCAGAACCATTTGCATGGCATAGCACACCAAAAAAGCGTCTCATTTATATCATGCATGAGCAATTGCGTATGGGGCATAGTGCACATCAAGTTGAGTTTTAGGATTTACTCTGAAAAAATAAAGGAAAATTTACATTCATACAATTCAATTCTTATATATTTGCCTATCTATCGTCTAAGTGTTAATATTTATTTATACAACACTCAAATTTTCAATATCACATAAAAAATGCCACTAACACTCCTTTCTTAAAGTGGAACATATTTTTTCATAAATATGTTTTAATGTATTAAGCTACATAATGTTATATATGTCTATTAAACTTTCAGTGTTGAATATGTAAATTAATAAAAATGTGTGATATATATATGTAAATTCATATTTTTATGAATATGTTTTAATGCAATTATGCTACAAAATGTTATATAAGTAAATATTAAACTTTGGGGATTGTTTATGTAAATAATTAAGAATTGTTTGGAGTGTGTGTAAATTTCGCAAACATATGTATGTCTGTGTATATACAGATATACACACATAAGTATAAATGTAAATATATAGAGCGCAAAAATAGTGAACTCCACTCGCTTAATGAAAATGATGATAAAGTTTATATTTTGCGAGGTCAAAATGATATTGATAAAGAAATTGAGTCTTTTTTATTTGTGATGATGATAATCCTTCTTTGGATGACTAATTTAACCGCTTATAAAAATATTAAATTTAAAAAAAATTATAGTATTTTAAGTAATTGAGGTTTTAGGCACTTGAATTTAAATATTATTTCTAATTTTTTATCATCACATTTAATATTATTTTATATTTATCTGTATGTTTATTACTTTTTTATATTTTGTGCAAAGTTTAAAATGACGTGTGCTACACCAAGCACCAAGCATCATGCGCTATGACCCTACAGAGACCTTTGTGCTATGGTGAGTTATTTAACATTGACATATGAAATCCCCCGCACCAAAATTCAATTCCAATGATCCAATGGTGTGACAAATCTAAGAACATTCATAACTTCCTAAACAAATCCAATTGACCAATCATCACATTAGTTGCTTAAACTTCTAGAGTTCCACATAATTTTCCACCAATGAAAATCTAGTCGTTAATTGCCATAAAATTTATGCCAATAACTTGTCTTAAAACCTTGCAACTAATAACCACATTCATTAGCCTACTAACAACCCTAAACCATCCATTCTTGTTTCAAAAACACTTCAAACCTATTAAACATATCCACGTCAATCTCACATGCTTTCATCAAGGAGATGAAGTAATAAAACCCCTCCCAACTATATTTATCAAACCTCGGATCATTAAAATAAGTCTTTCTCAATAATTCATTTATCAAAAGCTGCAAAAACAAAATTTGAGTAAATGATCTCATTTACTTCCATTACGATGATGAAGGAAATAAAACCCCTCCTATTATATTGATCCAAAATAATGCGAGTGACAAAGATTAAAATTCACTAAAAAAAGAACCACCAAGCAATTTAGGGATTATAAGATGATTAGCTCTTCCTTCGAAAAGGAATTTTGTGTTTTACCCCTTTCTTTGAAAGACTTCGTAGGATTCAGCTTAAGTTTTCTCTTGAAAAAGGTACCTCGCACAGTTTTCTCTAGAAAAGGGTACTTTGCAAATTTTTAATTTATGGCACAAAGCTCTCCAATATCAACTAAAAAGGGGTAAATAATAAATAGATATCTTTCAAAAGTGTGGATTAGTGATAGCGAAAAGCAGAATAACACTTCAAGGAGTAAAGTGATGTTTAAATAAGAGAGTTTTAAGATAGAGAGTATGAAAATGAAAAGAACTAATGAAAAGACAATTAGGAAATAGTGATAACAAGGAGTAGAATATCCATTAAAGGAGTGGCATCCCCATATAAAAGGATTTAGGATTTAAAGAGAAAAATAGTGAGTACAAAAGCATTTTGGTTAAAGAAAAAATTATAAAAAAAGCATGCTAGCAATCTTCGGCCAACAACAAAGAACCCACCATCAAAAAAACCATTTTTATTTGCACTTGAAGCATGGAGTAGATAGCATGACAAGTGAATTGGATGCTCTTAGGTTGGGGTGTCCCTAACCCTTTTATAAGTGTGGTTTGGATGCTTAAGTCCCCTTATATGAAGAGGCGTAAGGCAAAAAATTCAACACTTCATGAAGCACCCTTAAATGAAAAGTTGTGAATGGATGATTGAGCGCCATTTAATGAAGTAGAGTGGAAGAATAGATGCAACTTTTATGAAGCATCCTTGCAATAAAAGGTGTGCACGAATGGATGCAGCCATTCAAGAAACACCCCGACAATAAGAGGTATGAATGGATGGATCATTCAATGAGAAAAATTTCTACAAATTAGACAACTTTATATCAAAAAGGGCAAGGGAAACATTAGCATCCTTTAGAACAAAAAAGATGGACGGTACCCTTATTTTAGTGAATCAAATCCATTGTTTGGATTGAGTTTTACATTCACAATTTATTTTAAATGATTTGCACGTGCACATAGAAAATATTAAATAAAAATTTGACAAATACATAAATATTCACATGATATGAATAATCTTAATGCTTAATTAGTTAATCACGATTCTCCTTCTTTAAGAAGAGGCTCATTGTTATGAATCTTAGTGGTGTGGAATAATGGTTAACCTACATTTTATTGTATCACTTTGCCATCCCATGTTGATGTGGTATGAAAATTTAGTACCTTCATGAGTAATGATCTTTTCCAACACGATATCCTCATGTGACTCTTTTTCTCTACCAAGAAATTTGATGAGGAAAACACGTCTTCCAATGAGAACCACTAAGCAAATTTGGGAAGAAAAATAGGATTGACTATTTTTTTCGAATAGGGGTTTGATACTTGATCCCATTTTTTTAAGGGAGCAAAATGCCTCCATGTAAGGCCCAACTTTGACTCCTCTTGGTCAAAGTTGTAAAAACTATTAAGAATTGAGGATTCCTCCAATGAATAAAAATGTGAGTTTCAAATACAATCGAGACAGAATTTGAAATAAGAAAAGAAAAGTCATAGAATTATAAAAAATTTGAAAACACACAAGGTTCATAAGAAAAAACATAACTTGACTCATTAAAGACAAAATAAGAAAGCACAAAGTTCAAAAAAATTGAATAGAACTTTCAAGTTAAGATGATAAAAATTAGTAACTCGAGATAGAACTAGATTCTAAGTATTTTAAAGCCCAAAGTAAAATCCTCTATGCCCCAAAAATCAAATTTATTATTATCATCATCACAAGTATGATTGTCTAAAGAACATTCGACATAAATAATAGCTTTATCATCCTCCAAATCTCTCTAAAGTTGCTCCTCTCATTCATCTTCTTTCTCATGTAATACTATTAATTTATTCTTCCATATATCAAGTTATTATAGTAAGTCCACACATAATAAAAAAAACAATAAATAAGGATTTATTTAATAATGTCTAAAATTCTTCTAAGTTTGAGAAACATGATATTTTATTCTTTTCGCACATTCTATCTTCTAAGTTTGAGAAACATGATATTTTATTCTTTCGCACATTCTATGATACTTCTGCAAAAAAAATTACATTTGATATACAAGTAGCCTTTTTTCGTGTTATATGCATCTATTTCAACTCAAGACTCATGTTTCCGAGCAATAGCTTTCCTTAACCAAAACTACACTATTAGTAGAAGTTCTACAACTACGTTGTTACATTAAAAGAAAGCAATCTAATTACAATTAGTTTACAGCAAGATAAAGGTTAAGAAAAATAAATTTCCTAAAACCAAAGAATATAATTATATTAAAAACTACAAAAAAAAAGGAAATTGGAAAAAATAAAGAAAAAAGGTGGGCAAAGCCAAAAGCAAATAATAAATTTGACTTTCTTAAGAAGAAAGAAAATTAAAAAAAAAGGGGAAAAAAGAGTAGTTGTGCCCTTAAAAAACTAACTTTGAGAAGAAGAAAGGAAACGGAGTAAAATTAAAGGAAAAAAAATAATAAAAGAGTAAAGAAAAGATCTCAAAGAAGCTTAGAACCAAAAACTTGACTTGTGGTTAATGGACGAAGCTTGGTTTGTTGATTTAGTAGGCAGTAGAAACTATCATGAGAGGAAAAGAATAGGTTATCTAAGTTTAATTTTGATTTTTATTTGTTTTTATTAGGGTAAAATTAGATAGTTTTAGAGCTTAAGTGTCCTTAACCAAAAAATTCTACTAAAAGCAAAATTGAAATATGTAAATAAGCCATTATAAAGTCAAATACATTCTAAAAATAGATGCAACTCGAAAACCATACCTCAATACAAACTGTTAAGATTCAAAACCCACACTGCAATTGATTGTGGCATGGCTCTTAAAAGACCAAGGAAAAAAGTTTTGAATTTTTTTCCTATCCCCTCAATACAAGACGAGTTATAATATATAGGTTCTGAAATTTGTTAAGCCATTCTCTTAATGCATTTAATTTCTCTTTTCAGAAGGATTCCAATTAAACCTTGACTGTGCCAACACCTAGGAAACATTTTCTATTTATGATAAAAGCCACGCCAATATTTCCTTATTATAATTCCACAATAGAGAAGAAAGAACTAATGAAACGAAGAATAAGAGTGAACACAAGGAGCAGCATGCTCTCCAAAGAAGAGAGTTCAAGCATTAAAGAGGTGCAAGTGATTAGGACTTTGGCTAAGGATACATAAATAGCAAACATAGAAGTTTAAGCCAGCATAAATAACCTTAAATCACAAGAACTTATTAACACTTAACACATGCAATGCAAATCATGACAAAGGATTTGGATGGTAGTCACCCCCCTCCTTTCAGATGTGTGGTTAGGGTACTTAATCACCTTACATCAAGAAGTGTGATGGAAAGAACAAAACAATTTATAAAGCACTCCAACATAAGAAGATGTGAATGAATCGATGCAAACTTTCATGAAGTGGTGGAAAGGAATTGATACAAATTTTTATGAAAAGGCCTTGATAAAGTAAGAATGAATGAATGCAAACTTTCATTAAACACCCTTCATGAAGAGGCATGAAGAAATCCATCCTTCAATGAATAAATGCTTTACAGTTGGCCACGTTTTAAATAAATGAGGAAGAGAAAGGTATGCAATGACATCATTTGGATCAAATAGAGCTAGTAGACCCTTTATTGTGGCTATAACCCCAAATAATTGGGTAGTGTTTTACATTTTACATAACTCTGCATACACATGAAATATATGAAATAAAAGTTTACATGTTTAAGGAATACACATTCATATGGCATACACATCTGTTTGATTCTCGATATCTCAATCATATTTCATTCAACATAGTCGAACCTTAAATAAGCCCAAAGGAAGATGCATGCTTCAGATGCATGGCAAATCCTTCTGTAATTCAATTCAACAGAATCATATGTAAAAATCGTATCTTAATAAACAAACCAATTTTATATAGAATTTACACACTAAATGATATTGCTATTGATGCAACTTAAAATTAGTCATGAAAGAAAATATTTCAAAAAGAGTTTCAACTAATATGTTAAGAATAAACAGACACAATGGCATACATTAACGAATTAAGCTCTGAAGGAAAAGGCAAGCAAGACACTAAAATATCTGCAAAGTATAAAAAAATTTAACGAGGCGAGCAAAACAGTTATCACAATAATTACAAATGAGTATATCAGGCAAAGGAAGTTTCACACAAGAAAAAAGTAGTATGTGAATGGATAGAATTGTATAACATTTTGCACTCACATCTTTGATGATAATGTTGTCATGCAAGTTTGCACAAGAGGTTCAATATTGGTCACACTGAAATCAAATTTGTGTGCAATGTGCTCAAGGTGTTCAACAGCTATCCGTGATGCCATTTCATATCCCTCTGCGACTCTGACAGGATGAATGCCACGTTCAAGCAGCTTCTCAGCTTGCTCTAAAAGTGCACCAGCCATTACAACAACCCCAGTAGTACCATCACCAATTTCATAGTCTTGACTCCGGGACAATTCAACCATTAGCTTTGCTATCTGATTGTCCACGTCCATCTGCTCCAATATTGTCGCACCATCATTTGCTGTGCAGAAAAATATATACGTCAGAACAAATTTATTCGACAGACTATAAAACTCATGAGTTACTTTTTCAACTTACTTGTGTACTTCAAACATCTTGAATGCTTATGGTTTTAAAACAAGGACAAATAGCATATGTTGCAAAGTCAATATCCTCAAAAGCAATTAAAGAATAGGAAATAATAAACAAAAGATTACAGGAACATAAATACTGTCTGCTTTATGTTTGCATATCCAAAGAAGAAAGTGTGACAGATTACATGATTCACATTTTGACCAGAAAATATAAAAAGGACACTGCTTCCTATTCTCTATCACGTTCATTTCTGAACCACCCTATCACAGTGGCCATTCTCCGAAAGCAAGGAAAACAAAACGAGCTAATTTGACTCATCTCGTTATTCATCAAGCATACATTTCTATGGTGACCAAAAGAACAGCGAGTATCCAAATCGAAACCATAACAGAAGCTTTCTCTGCCTTTGCAGGCCCTTCATAGATTAACATGAAGTACACAAGTTCAAATTTTTTTAAATCTAGCAGTTGTTGGGAGTCTAAATCCAAATCGAAACCATAACTTCTCAGCTTGCTCTAAAAGTGTTTTGTAGCGCTCTGTTAGTCAGAATAACATCTATGAAACAAGGGAGCGAAGCAAGAACATCAGATATAAGCAAAGTTGACATATGTATGGCGAATTTGTGTTCAGCAACAAATTCCCATCATCATCTGCACTTTTCATTTTAATCCCATAAAATATGTAAAAATACGACTCAGGTTTGTGGGATCCATAAAAAAAAAAGTAAGCATACAAAATCAAATCAATCACCTTACGCCTAATACCTTCGAGAAAAGAATAAATAAGAAAAATTTATGCGCTCGGACAAGAAATACAAAAACCAAATCAAAAAATTCTGCCGAGATCCATCCAACATCAAATCCTTTTTTCCTAATTAAAACATACGTAAAACCCTAGCCAAAGGAGTAAGAACGAAGGGTTACTCACTGATGGTGACATCACCATCCGGGCTCTGAAGCATCTTGTCCATGCCTTTAGGGCCGAGGGAGGTGCGGAGGATACGTGCAACGGCTTTGCCGGCATTGATGTTGGCCTTCTGCGCGTCAAGTCCCCGCAACCGCCTTTTCTGTTCCTGCTCTTTAATGATGATGAAAGGTCGGCCATACTCGTCGAACGCCAGCGCCATCGAGCTGCTTCAGCGTTACCCTCCCGCACAACAACGAGGAGGAAGCAGGAGAGGGAGTGAAGTGATCGCAGGGCTCCGTGTAGCAGGGTCCAAGGGAGGTTTACGAACGACCCGGAGTGGAGGCCCTAATTATTAAACCGATTCTTCGTAGTACGGCGAAATTCAAAATTATTAAATTTCTATTCAAATATAAAAGAGAAATAAATTTTATAAAAGAAGATCCTTAGGATATTAAAAGAGGAGGTGCTCGAGGAGAAGTCTAATTAAAAATTTATTTCAAATTAATTTTTTTAAAGCAAAAAACTTTATTACAATCATAAACTTGTTCATATTTCAAAACCTATCAGTCAATCTTTATAAATCGAGTGCTTTAATTCTATTTTTAATACTTTCTAAGAATCCTATGTTTGACAAACATCAATGATTTTCGAAGTAGATAGGAAATCAGGATTTTGAAGTTGAATACAAGGTTTTCTTATACCCTAGTTCTAGGATGATATACTAAAATTTTTCTTAAGTCACAGTGTGACATTCCTAAGGCAAAATTGTAGAAAATTTTAAAGAAACATATTTCCTCAAATTAAATAAATTAATTTTTAAAATGATAGAGTTACTTGAAGACAAGTAACGTTTAAGTTTGGTGAATTTTGATATGCCCTAAAACATGCTTAATTTTCTTTACTTTTTACACTTGTTTATATATGAAATTGCACTTTAAAGAAAGGTATTTTTGTGTTTTTTTTTTTGCAGGAACAACATGGAGGACATATGGAGTGAATCGAGCTAAAATGGATTGAAGCGGGGGGTGAAACCGATAGAGTGGCGCCTAGACTCCAGCCTTTGGGCGCCAAGGAGCTCCACCCAAGCACCTTGGTGTCCATTTTGTGGTGCCTAGGTGACAAAATCCAGTCAGGCAAACCGGCAGGTCGGCGCCTAAACGACAGCTTTGTGGCGCCAAGGCGCTGGCCAATTCTTGGAAAGATTTGTACAGTCGCTATAACACGACTTAAGGAGTTATGGGGTTGATTTAAGCAAATTGAGGAAGCATTGAAGAGTATTTTGAAGCCTTAGGTAGTGATGGAAGACAAAAGAGTTGTAGTGTAAATTAGGGTTTAGTATTTTTCACTTTATTAGAGAAATTGGAGAGGAACTTTAGAGAATTCTGTAAGGGGATACACTCAGCATTGCAAGGAGCACTTGGAAACCTTTTAGGGAGAAATTTTCTTCTCTTTTCTAAGGATAATGCTAAGTATTGTGTTCTACATTATCTTGTACTATTTGTAGACATAATTCTAGTGGATTTGCTTTATTGTAAGATGATGATTTGTGGTGTTTTCTTTATGCATTGTGAATAAATCTTTTTTACCTTTTTCTCGTGATGTAGAAGTTGAATGTGTAGGATTTTATGATGCTTATAAAATTTAATATCAAATATTAATGTGATGAGTATTCATCAAATCTTAATTTACTTTTCGTACTGGCCATATGATTTGTTAAAATTTATTGTAATATATTATGACTTGGAAGAACAGTATAGGAACGATTAGAGTATCCACATTGAACTAGTAGATGAAGGAAAAGTAGTTCATAGGGCAATCAAAATAAATAAGGAAATAGGTTTTTTTTGGTTCAAATTGTGGTTTATGGAATTAAAACCAGTTTAACTAAACTACTTTATGCACCCGGGAGAGGAAAAAGTAGATGATTGCTCATATTTGTCATTAGCAACATTTATATTCTGTAGTATATATTCCTACACAATCACTTATATCATCACAAGAGAGGGGTTACTTTTATATCTCTAGAATCACCAATCCAATTAAAGTTAGGTGGATTTTTAACATTAGAATTAATTAAAATAGTGTAGGAGTAGTTGGTAGAACTATCACCAAATCATAATTCCAAACTATGACCTAAAAATAGTAGACTGGAACTTTCTTAAATAATTTCATTAACTCGTTCCTTGTGGGATCGACAATTTGAACTATTATTGAAATGATACGTGCACTTGTGTGAGAAATCCCTATGTGCAAAAAAAACCTAATTCTAAGAATTCAGTCAAGTTGCTAGGGAGCATAACATGTTTTCTGGTGTCATTACCAGGATTTATAATATTGTGATAATAGCTGAGGTTGACCACTTGCCTATGGACCCTAGGAACCACCCCAAATTGATCCCTAGCCTCACCAAAGGCCTCCATAACCCCACCAAACCTTAAAAATAACCTTAAACCCTAATATGCCCTTTTGACCCGAAAATTTTATGGCACCTTGAGATGGTCATAATCAATTGGACCTACCCCACTTTTGGCCAAATTTGTACCAATTAACCACATGCAAATCCAATTGAGCCTCACCCAACATGGCCATGACCCCATACCATGTGGTGGAGCCAATTGCCACCATGGAGTCAATCCTTATAATTCACTTAATTAATTTATTAATTAATTAGTTGATTTTTTAAATTCCATTAGGGTCCACGCTAAGAGAGAACACAACCTATTTAACCCAAATTCAAAACCTTAAGAAAAAACACAAACTAAACACATCGCCCATGGCCCATTCTTAATGGGCCACCCATGACCCAATACCCACCTACCATGACACTTGGATGATACACCAAGTCAAATAAGGCTAAATCCAACCATTAATGGGTGAGTTTGGCATCATCCACGATGACTCATCTATGGAAAGGGCACATGTCAACTAGCTCAAGCCTCCATGGACCAATATTTGATGGGTCAAACTAGATCAAGTCTGATCCTTACTATCCCTAAAGGGCCTACAATCAACTTTGAGCTTCCTCCCATGCCTTCCTCACCTCCATCCTCACCACCATGATCAAGCCACCATGAAAGCTTGCAAATTTTCTCTCCACTGCCCAAAACCACCCTCTAAAATCTCTTTGAGAACTCTCTGATGAGCTGCCCAAGCTTTTTCAATCATAGCTAAGCTCTCTCATGGCATCTCATGGCTAATTAAAGAAGGAACACGAGAACATCTACATACAATCAAACTCCCTATTCAACCTTCTAAACCTTTGCCTCTCAATGGAGAAAATGTTCTTGATCATGGCAATTGATCCCATATGCCCTCAAGCCGTCACCACCACTAGGGAACCCTAATTTCCCTGCCCTAATCCAGGAAAATTTTTGTTCTTGACATGAACCCTTCCAAAACTCAAATCTAAGCCTTTCAAAAGCTTCTCCAAGCCTTAAAATGATCTCCTTAATCAAAATTAAGGCTTCTCTAGCTCTTCAATTTATTCCAACACTAACTCGAGCCACCATTTTGTTTAGCTCATAGCTAGGACCAATTTCATTTCAAATTGAAGCAAGGAGGACGTTAGTGACAACAAGGCAAAACTCTTTGTCAAGCCCAATAGAGGTCACACCTCTTGGGATAAGGTAAAGATCAAAATACCTAAAACTAGCCTCGAGTTTGGTCTTTTGTGAAAGAGATGAACACTCCATGCTCATTAAACCGTATAGATATGTTCCTCGGGACAATCAAACTAAACTTTGATTAACCCAACTTGAGACTTAACTTCAAGTCTGACTTAAGTCTCAACCCTAGTTTAATAAAAAATTGATTTAAATCTTACCCAACTTAGACTTAAGAAAATAACTCGTGTCTAAGTAACTTGGACTTCACCCAGGTCTAATTTAACTTAAACTTGATTCAACCTAGGGGGTTTAACTTAGATCAGCCTAGTTCAACTTGGTTTGCTCCCATGTTAATCCAACTTGGTTTAACTTGGTTTACTTTAAGTCAATTTAAACCAAGACTTGATAACCCCAATCGAACAAAGTCAACATGGGTCAATCCTATTAAACTTTGGTTGATTTAAAAAATTTTGAAGGTAATTCAAGGGACAACCAACCTAATTCAGGTTAACTCAATTTTTTTGAAGACTCACTTTAGATCAATTTAACCCAACATAAAACAATCTAAAATCAACCTAGCTCTAGGTGACTAGAGGTTAAGCAGGGTTTGACTTTTCATAACAAACAAAGGCACACTTAACCTCAATCGAGGACAATTTGGGCTAAGGTACCAAACCAGCCAAAATCAAATGACATGAAATTTACCTTAAAAGACATTATACTTAAACCAGAAAAAAAATGCAACCATTTTTTAGAAGGACTTTTGGAAGAGGCAACCCATGATTGCTAACAAATTACCTTTGAGTTACTATTGATTAATCAAACTGCAAACTCCAATGATCATGGGAAGATGGAACCATGGGATCTTGATCGGGTCATCCCAAATAAAAAAAATAAAAAAGACAAAATAAAAAAAAAATATTTAGCTAATAAGTCTTAAGTAATGTAAAACTTTTAACTTCTAAAATTCAAAAAAGACATTAAATTTTAAATGAAACCTTAATAACAAAGATCATCAAATGCAACTTGAACCCTAAATACCTCGATCTTTAAAGATTTCTTAGACGATGCAAATTGTCATTATTGATAAGAATCTTCCAGTCCGAGCAGGTTTTAACATCTCTTAAACTAAGTAAATCAAGGAACCCGACAACCCCGGGATGATAGAAAGGCATGGGCATCTTAATCGGGCTGCATAAAAATAAAAATGAGAAACAATTAATTAAATCAAAATTGTTTTATGCTAACTCTATTTTGCAGGGATACTGAAAGCAAGAAACGGATATCACCCTAGATTTACCTCACATGTTATTAGGGTGTGCTAACTCTATTTTGCAAAGAAGATCATTCAAAACCCAAAGCAAACATATGAACCTCAACTAAACCATCAACGACAAAAATAAAACCCTATGATGGTTCAGAACCTTTAGGAATCCACCACACTTAGGGACTTTGATATTTCTTTTCTTAACAATGAAATTTGAACTTTTTGAGATAAAATTATAATCTTAATCAAAAGTTTTCTTAAGTATTCTCAACTACTTAAGATGTAATTAATTATAGAAACTTATATTTATAGAAGGATGTGGACTTTGAAATAGGTCTATCAACTTGAATTCTTTGGTAGTTAGCCTTCGTAAGGTCTCCTTCGTAGTTATGTCTTTAAAGCATACTGAGTTAATCACACTTTGAACTTATACTTTGGAACTATCAATGTGAAAACTCACTTTATGAAGGCTTTCTGTATACTTCTTT